TATGTATCATTTTTATGATTTCATTCAATTACAAAATCTGATAGATACATATTAATGATGTGCTACATTACTCTTTTCCAAACTGCGTATATCAAACTCAATCCAACCAACACAATAAAAAAATCAAATTCTACAAATTATATAAAATCAAGCATAATAACTAAATTACCAAGTTATATATTTCATAACATCAAATACAAAAAAAATAATACAAAAACATGGCGATTTTCGAACAAAAATTTAAAAAACCCTAGGTTTAGCAAAATAGATGAATTACCTCGATTGAAACGGTTGAAAGTCGGTAGAATGGAGCACAAACGACCTTGGGTACACCGTGTCTCTTTTCCCTTTGATTCAAAATCAATCCAACCAACACAAAAAATAATTCAAATTATACAAATTCTATAAATTCAATCATAATAACAACATTAACAACTTATATATTTCATAACATCAAATACAAAGAAAAAAATTAAAAAAAAAACACTAATTTCGAACATTAAATTAAAAAAACCTAGGTTTAGCTAAAGTGGTGAAATACCTCAATTCAAACGTTTAAAAGCCGGTAGAATGGAGCACAAACGACCTCAGGTACACTGTGTCTCTTTTGCGTTTGATTTGAGCTTCGTTTGGAGGCGTTCCGGCCGGGATTCTTCTTCGCTCGCACCTGTTCGTCGTTCGTCGTTGAAGAGGAAGGAGAGTTTTTTGGGTCTGTGTTCGTCGGCTGGGGAAGAAGGGGGATTTTCTGCGAATTAATGAGCCGTCACTCGAAGTGGCGGCTTTTGTGAAACAGGAGAAGAGCCGCCACTCGAATTGGCGGCTTTTGTGAAGTAATACAAGAGCCGCCACGCTTAACCCTGATTAATCCCAACAGTATTTTGGGAATTATTATTAACCCGACAGTATTTCGGGAATTATTTATTTATTTAGCATTATTCCGGAAAAAAAACTCCATAGATTTAGGTTGAAAAACCTTGCAAATAAATATGAGTTTTTCTTAGTAATTCTATTTTAATGATCAGAGTAATATATTTGATTGCATTTTTTAATTATAATTTATGATATTTAGCCGCAATTTGGCCTGATCATCATTAATGGTAGATAAAAGTATTGGTAATGCTACACAAACTTTTTTATAATTATGATTGGGGTGTAAGTTGAATTCCAATTTAGTAGGTACCAATCTACCATGGATGAGAGTATTTGTATGCAGTATTGCAGCAGCATATATAAATTAATTATAGAGCAATCACCTTGTGCATCGCAATACTAGTATATTTATAACTAATCATAGAGATCAGGACTTGAGGAGCCCCCAAGCCTCCCAAGTCCTAAGTCTTCCACTGAAGATTTAAACCAAATAAAGATAAAGTAAAACATTTTGTCAACTATTTTAACCTTCTTTTCACTAAATTATTAGTCCTGCTTTTATGTCAAATAAGAATACTTGATGGGTGACACGTGTTTTTCTCCCGGTTGTTAACTCTTAAATTATTCATACTACTCCCTCCGTTCTTAAATATGAGTCCTCTTAAGCTTTGGCACGAGTTTTAAGAGGAAAATAATATGGGTAGTGTAAAAGGTGTAGTGGGTTGTGGGTAAATGAAAAAGTAGGAAAGAGAAAGGAGTAATAGTAATAAAAGTGGGGGTATAAAAGTATTTTGATTGAAAAAACATATCAAAAAGGGAAAGAGGGACAAATAATTAAAAACGTCCCAAAAAGGAATGCAAGACCGTTAATAAAGAACAGAGGGAGTACTTTTTTGGGAGATTTACATTAATAAGACTAAAACATACGGAGTAGTATCTATCCAACAATAGAATCAACTAGTTTAAAATACCTTAAATAAGACTTTATTTGTAATTGGACCAAAATACCATCGAAGGGTTGGAGCACTACTGCCCCCAGGTTGTCGTACCGCCGCCTGGTGTCGGACCTACGGCAGCCTTTGCCGAAAAAATTTCCAAAAATTTTAAGGCGATATGCCAGAATTTCCGACGCCACCATCGCTGGAGATCCACGCCGTTGCCAGAGTCTGTTGCTGCCACCACGAACCAATCCCGTCACCAAGGGAGTGATAATTAGATTAATTAATTAATTGTTTATGGGTAGAAATGAAACGATTAGTTCTATCCGGGGAGAACTAAACATATTTGTGGAAAGAATTAAGTAGAAGGGCGGGAAAAAGGATAACGAGCTTGTAAAGAAAGAAAAAGGTCACATTGGCAAACTGAGGATGATTTAGCTTTATCAAAAAAGTGTTAAGCATGAATATTGTAAAAAAATGTTTATCTGGTGCATATTGTAGTTTAGATTCATGGGTGCATGAGTTTATCCGAGGCTTTCTTTAAATTGTAAGGGGTTATTGGCCTTCTCCCCATCTACATTTGTTTATTTAGAAAAGTTAATCTACATTTGTTTATATAGAAAAGTTAAAATCTTGTTTGGTAGCCAACAGTGATTTATTTATTCTACTTATCAAGAATCCAAGATGATATAAACAAAAAAGTAGAATGAATAGTTTTAACATGCTTATTTGACTCTAAACACTAAACATGGCGTCCACAACCTGGCCCGGGTCACTAGGCAAATTATACCGTGCAACCGGCGCACCATGAGGATGGTGCGCCCGGTTGCAAAACGACGCAGCTTGCCCCTTTTTTTTTTTGCTTTTGTTGTTAAAAATGATAATAACTTTTTTTTATCCGATTTTTATAAAATTTATATCAACATTTTTTATTTTTCATGATCTTTCAAATGAGACCAATATTGCTTATGTAATTTTAAGAAATTATCGAACTATTATATTAATGAGTATTCAGGGCCGGCTAGAGCAATTATGAGGCCCTAGACGGTCATGTAGAAATTTTGTTTTAAATATGTTTTATTTAACCCAATGATATAAAAAATAGCAATTAAATATAAGTAAATTACATATAAAATACATCATATACTATTAACACAGTGAGAATATTCTTCGAAATCAGAAGATCAAAGTTGATGAAAAAATACAAAGAGCCCTAGAGGGAGAAGGTTTTGTGCTTACGTACAACATACCGATCGATAGAGCCGGAAAGTGATTTCATGACCAAATTATTTCTTAATTTTTTTCTTTGTCTTTGTACATCTTGATTCATATTTTGTTTTCCAATCATCACAAAACATAAAATTTCATTCAAAATAATACTATCACTAAATATAAGTTAATGGTTCATAGATATAAATTTAATTCACTAAATTTAATCAAATATAAAAATTATAAGTATGTTCAATATTTCAATGAATCAAAATAACAAATTACAATTACAATTATTCAATAAGCATTCAAATATATTTAGAATACTCATTATCCTAAATCCCTAGCCCTACTGCCCTGGCCAACAAAGAAAAAAAAGGAAAAGGGGGCAAATAAGCCCACATACTAACCAAAAAGGTCAAATAAGCCCTTGTATAAGAGACTTTGTCCGGCCGTCGCCATTTGGGGCAGTTCCTGGTGGAATGTTTTGATGAAGTTTTTTGAGAATCTTATTCATTAAGTCTTGTTTACTCACATCAAATTTCAGCTAACAATTCAACGGGGAAGGCATTCAAATAAATTCTTGAAGATAACCGCGCTTTTAACTGCGCAGTTATCTTCAAGAATTCATTTGAATGTCTTCCCGATTGAATTTTTAGGTGAAATTTGGTATGAGTAAACTAAACATAATGAATAAGATTCTAAAAAAAATCATCAAAAAATTTCAAATGAAACTATCCCAAATGTTGACGGCCAGACAAAGTCTCCTAAATAATATCAATAAGCTTATTTTATAAATTAGAGGCCCCTAAAATTTGGAGGCCCTAGACACTTGTCTAGGGTAACTCCCCCTATGGCCGGCCCTGTGAGTATTGGATTATAAGAAAAATCGAATCTGTTTGAGAGATGATAGGTTTGTGAAATAGAAGATCGAATCTGTTTGGGAGTGGATCAGTGGCCTCAGTTACATTTGATAATACATTGAGTTACATCTTTTTATGAGCGAGTTACATCTTTTTATAAGCAAGTTACATCTTTTTATAAGCAAGTTACATCTTTTTATAAGCAGGTTACATCTTTTTAAAAGCGAGTTACATATATATATAAACACGAGTTTCATTTGACATGCCTGAACGCGACTTACATATATTTACACGTAAAGTTACATATTTTTACACGTAAAGTTACATATTTATACACGCGAGTTACATATTTATACACACGAGTTGCATTTGACCTGTATGAACGCGAGTTACATATTTTTTTACGTAAACTTACATATTGTTACACGTAGAGATACATATTTATACACACGAGTTGCATTTGGCCTGACTGAACGTGAGTTACATATTTTAACACGTAAAGTTACATATTTTACACGCAAATGTTAATATGTTAAAATTACATAGGCAATATTGGTCTCATTTGAAAGATCATGAAAAATAAATAATGTTGATATAAGTTTTATAAAAATCGGATCAAAAATAAAAAAGTTATTACCATTTTTTAAAAACAAAAGGAAAAAAAAATATAAATCCGTACGGGTATACGGTGCTCACCGTATACCGGTCGTACGGTATAGGCACTCAGGTCACTAGGGATGATAATGTATACCCCTCCCTCATACAAAGAATCTCATTTTCCTTTTCAGACGTCCCATAAAAAAGTTCTCATTTCAATTTTAGGAAATAATTAACAATTTTCAATGTCAAATTAATCATTTAATATTAAAAATAATATATTTATAACATCACAGTTATCAACATTAACCTCATTATATTTGTCAAAAAAAAAAACACTAACCCCATTATATTTGTCAAAAAAAACACTAACCTCATTATATTATATACCTATTAAAATTATTTTTCAAAGTATACTCGAACTATCTTATTTAATTATTGTCTAAATAATCATCATTTTGTCATGAGAACCTTTCAACGGGACGGAATTAGTATTAAGTTGCAACCAAGAAAGAGAGGGAGGGGGGTGAAGCGTCCTGGATGTCAAGGGAGGTTGAAGCTTCGATGTAGGAGTGGACTCGGGCCGAGCCAACCGGCCCGGAACTGGACCGGCCCGCTACTGTGCGGGCCCGGACCGGCTCGGTGAACCGGTTGGTGCCCGGTTCAGGCCACCCGGCCTGGTGAGGTAGGCGGTTCGGGCCCGGGCCTGCTAAATAGTGAACCAGCCCGGCCCGTTCGGGCTCGGTCCGGGCCAATTTATTTATTTCTTTCTTTTTTTGAATTTTTTTTTAAGTTTTTGTGTTGGGCTGGGTATGATGGGCCATTTGAGGTGGTTTGGGGTGGTTTAGGGGTGAGGGAGGAGGGTTGGGGGTTAATTAGGAAAAGCAAAAAAAATACATGAACCGAGGCCCGGCCTGGCCCGGCCCGGACCCGGGGGTTACCCAGGCCGGTTCCGGGCCTCCCCTTTCATGAACCGAGGCCCAGCCGGGCCCAGGCCCGAACCGGGCCTGAACCCGAACCGGTCCACCCCAACTTTGGTCTGGGACTCTGGGAGGCCACTGGCTGGGTGAGGAGTATCGGGAAAAGCCGCAAGGGCAATAAAATGATAATTGAAACAGAGCAGTTAGTAACGAGGTGCAATAGGGCCTGAGTTTTCATGTTTGGATTTGCTATGGTATCAGAGAAATCATTGCTTATAAATTACTCCGTATACAGTTTGACTTTGAATCACTTTTTCTTTCTGCAAATAAAAAAAAAGTCACCCAAATGACCATTAGCAAGTAGACTCTAACTTTCCCTTCATTTTGAGATCTTAAAAAGAGAACCTACTGGAGTAGTGGAGTGAAAATCACATAAATATTAAAATCTTTTCTCAAATACTTAAAAACATTGTATCAGGGATATGAACACAACTCTCACTCTTCATATCTGAGTATAACATGCTGGCACGCAAACACAAACACCCAAATACTTCGGGATATTTCAAACGCTCAGTTGGCTCCCTATTAGGAGTACATGGAGCATAGGATAGGGAGATGGTATAATAATGACACAATGTGCAATCAAGAATGCTGAAGTAGAAAAGTCTGTACAGTTGAGGGCTATGTAGCATGGAAATTCTCGGGAAAGAGACGTTTCCGTTTCGAAAACTCTACGGAAACTATTTGGAAACTCTCCAAACAAGCCTTTTTTGAGAAAAAGTTGACGTTTTCCGTTTCCCATTTCCTCGTGATTTTCGCGTTTCCATGCAACATAGGTTGAGGGTGCGGCGTTCTAAACAATGCAAATCATTGACAAGCTATTGTGTTTCAAAAATTAAGCCTTCATTTACACCACATAAGGGTCAATGATGCAAAAGAAGATCATAATTGACCCTCTCTGCTACACCACATAAGGGTCAATAATGCCAAAGAAAATAAACCAATAGATCATAATTGACCCTGTCTGCAGCTCAATCAAAAGATGGCATTTAGAATGATGAAATATTATGTTTAGCAATAACACTCCCTTGAACTTTTTTTTAAATCGTAAGTCACTGTGCTGCTAAACTGGTATCTTCTCCTGCCAAGCTACTATCTTTCTTGTCAACAGCACAGCCTTCTGGAGAAACCGTGCCACCAATTCTTTTGGGTGGCCAGTACCGGAATACAGATCTCCCAATTATATTCTTTGAAGGCAGTGGGCCCCTGATAAAATTAAATGACCCGCGTTCAATGAAAATCATATATTAAGCACCACCATCACTGCCTTAATCCCAACTCCTTCCATTTGAGTGACATTAAATTTATAGCGCCAATTAATTGTGAAGAAATTAGTTAACACTAAGTTCATGAAAAATATAGTGGCAATGTGGCATAGCTTTATGTTAGACACTCTTCCAAACTTTAATTCCCAAAACGTTATAATATGTTGTTTCCATTCAAAAAGAAATTGCCCTGTATAGGAGGTGCAAATAAGGTGGTTGACTGGTTTCCCTAAATGAGTACTATGTATTCCGTCTAAAATGAGATCAAATCACTTGTATAGTTATCTTTGATCAAATGCCATCACTTTTCAAGATAAGTAACTAAAATGATAAAAGTCGCAAGACATCCATAACCATGCACCAAGAGTAAAAAAAACCAAGATTTAATGTAAACAATCACTCATGGGACCAAAAGTAATATATTTTCTGAGGGAAGATATTTTCAAATTAATCATTTTAAGAAATAAGTTAGATAAAAACATGACATCCTTACCAAACATGTGAGTCATAGCTGTTATTCCGATTATCACCCATCACAAAAACAGACTTTTCAGGTACACGCTGCACAAAAACATGAAAATACTAAGAGTTAACAGGCTATATTCTTGTGGAAGAAATCAACGTTAACTCCAAAGATTGAAGTCAAGATTGGTAAAAGTCTTTCGAACTCAGCACAACAAACTTTTTAAAAGACGTTTTTTTTACTCCAGAGGGGGGTCTGGGGGAGGGGGCCTGGGGGCCTGGAGTAATCAGGGCTAAAACTCATTCCATTGAGTTTCAAACCCTTATGTGCCTAGCGGGTTTCAAACTCGAGACCTCCCACTAGGCACGGTAACCTCACAACCAGCAGGGCTGGAATGCTTGGTTAACTTTTTAAAAGACGTTTTTATAGAAAGAATGGTTCTCAAATTGCTTAAAAGAAGAGCGAGATGTAGTCAAAATTGTGGGAGGTAAACATACGATCGGAGTCATTTCATAATTGGGGTTTTCAAGAATATGATCTTCATTTCTGGCGATTCCATTCACTATTAATTTCCCTTCATGAACCTGCACCACAAAAGAGCATAGTAACCAACAAAGAACCTCTTTCCTTGAGACATCAAAATCAGGTGCGGTGTTTTGATGGTGTTACCTCAACAGTGTCGCCTCCCTTTGCGACAATTCGTTTAATGAAGACATCATCATCAGTGTATCCCACTTCCTGAAGAACTGGAGGACTTTTGAAAATCACAATATCATTAGGACATGGCTTTCTGAACAAATAAGAGACCTGCGTATCAGGGTAAGCATCAAGTTTCCGGATTGGGTATCATACTATCAAACTCAGGATGTTTTTAATTGGAGTGGTTTCAGTTCCAAACCAGACTAAACCAGACTTCTACAGATAAAATTTCAGTCCAAACCACACATCTACCAAACCAAACCAGTTCACAACAGATCAGACCATAAAATTTCAGTCCAATTAAAAACATCTTAAACCCATCACCGACAAGCTTTAAAAAAAAATTCAGTCCAATTAAAAACATCTTAAACCCATCACCCACAAGCTTTAAACATCTTAAACTCATCACCCACAAACTTTATTTCATGGATGATAGTCATGGATGGGCATATGAATTTAGAAGGAAAAACCATTAAGCAAAGCTATGACACTTAAAGTTGCCAATCATCTGCTTTAGCATGAATACTCGATTTTGTGACTTGACTTTGTAGTCCTAATTTGGTCCTAAACTTTTATTGGACCTAATTTGGTCACTGAGTATGAAATTTGATCCAGGAAAAACTTTGGACTAAATGTGGTCCTCAGCTATGACCCATATCAGTGCTCAACATGTAAAGTATACACTTCTTAATTACAGAAAAATACGTATGAGGACTAAGGATGTTTTTACTTGGACTGTAATTTGTTGGTCTGGTCTGGTCTGAACTGGTCTGGTTTCTTTGTATTTTTATAACTATCCAAGTCTGGTCTGGTCTGGACTGGTCTGGTCTGATCTGGGACGAATTACAGTCCAAGTAAAAACATCCTAACCTCAGTCTAAATTGCATAGTCGAGGGGAAACTATGTTCAACAGAATTGAGTATTATCTTAACTATGATGAAGAAATGGACCTGCACACCTACTACCAGAGTGGATTGGCAAGCCCAGTGCATTACGAAAAAACTACAGGTCCAGAATTACCCTTTAAATCTTAAATTACAAGACATTTCCATATGTCTTCTAAGCTGTTCTAGTTCAAGATCACTGTTTAAGCTCTAGTAGAAAACAAGACCAATTGGCAAAGTTCCTTAAGTCTGCCAAATTCAATGCAGAGATCTTCAAGTCTGCCACAAACCACAATGCATTATGACACACTGCAGCACCAGAATTGCCATTCAAATCTTAAACTGCAAGATTTTTCAATATATCTTCTCAGTTATTGTATATTACTAGTTCAAGTTCACCATGCTCTTGCACTAAATAAGACCAATTAGCAAAGTTCCTCAAGTTTGAAAAATCATTGTAGGAGCAGCTTTAAAATGACATGTTACTCAAATACATTTTCAATTCCCAAAATATGATGTATGATAGATTCTTCATTTATCATCACAAATACTCCGTATAACTGATAGCTACATGATACTCCTTATTATATACTCCCTCCGTTCCTAAATAAACTTCCAACATTTCACTCTCCGCCACACAATATCCACTATCTTAAACTTTGTGTCAAACCCATTTGGAAGTTAAAATGGGAACGGAGGTAGTAATACTCAATAATAATAATAATAATGCAGAAGATATTACCTTTTCAGCGACAATCCTGTCACCAACATCAAATGTGGGATACATAGATAAGGAAGGTATATATCTCGGCTCAGCTACAAAGGACCTGAACGCCAAAGATATAGCCAAAGCTGCAAAAACCGTTATAGCATCATCTGAAGTGAAATCCAGCCATTCGGGCAAAACCCTGTTGCCCTTCTCAACCAAAGTATCATCTCCGCCACCCCCATCGTCTCCATCTCCACCTTCACCTCCTCCACCTTCGCCTCCTCCGCCTTCAGAGTCTAGCTCATGCTTGGTCTCCTTATCAGACTCCTGACAGCTTTTGGAGCAAAAGATAAGAAAATTGAGGTCTTTAGACTTCTCACGCTTAAAATGTGTGAAATTTAGAGTCTTGAAGAGGGGTTTGAAATGGTTTTGGTTGCAGTAGATGGTTTTAGATGAAGAATTGGAAATATTATGCAAGAAAATTGGATTGCTAGAATAGTGGACTGATAAGATGTTAGGGCTTTGAAGTGAAGAGCAACTATGAATGCAATTAAGTGCCATCATTGAATTGAATTGAACGAAAGAAGTTTTACACTCCAGCAAATTAGAACGCTATCTGATTTTGCGTTTCTTCTTTCTATTAATGGACTACATTATTACTGCAAACTCACCTCACGACTCACGAGTCACGTCTATGTTCAATTAGAAACTAGAGAGGGACTGTTTGGCGCAAAGTCTCAATATTCTAGCTTTTCTGTTATTTTAAAATTCCTTCAAAAAGTTTTTAGTTATAATTTGACATATTAGTTAGGATTTGACGGAAGGTGCAGCTTGACTAGGTTTTGGTAAGTTGTTTTCTTCTTGCGAATGCTACGAAAGCCAAGAGTGAACTCCGTATACTATAGGACCGGCCCAGTATGAGCATGCTATACCCGCATGAATACGACATCGTTCTATTAATTAAAAAAACGCGCACAAACGGTATTCTCGAAATCGACGCGTCTTTTCTTCCGATAGGTGCGTCTTTTGACATTGGCGATTTACATTTCTCGATAAACTTTCTGACTTCACGCTTCCATCAAGTTTCATCAGACAGAGTTCCACCATTCGAAGTGCATTCTGGAGAAGGAAAAGTAAGAATCCGAACGAAGAAGAACGTTTTGCAGATCGAGAAAATGACGAGGTCTAAAGGCAAAACAGTTGCAAGGTATTTCATCCGAACGAACTATGTACTTTGCTTTTTGAAGTTCAAAATGTATGTCTGAGCATGTAACAATATGATTCATGTGCTAATTTGCTATAAATTTTAACATGCATGTAAGTCACTCTCAAAAACGAAAGAGATTGAGTATTGAATAGTGTGATTTATGTCTTATTGTGATCTCAATTTGAATAAGCAAAGTGTGAATGCTCATATGTCATCGAGCATAATAAGGAAATTGTCTATGTTAAGATGTAACTACAATTTTTGGTAATATAGTGTTGCATGCCTCAATATTTTTGTTATGCCTTAGTTTGTCATTGAATTTTTTGGTGATATAGTGTTGCATGTCACTGAAACTAATACCAGATTAACTTTATTAAATTTATGCAACTTGTGTATAATAATACATAAATCATCTGCCTTGGTCTGTGACTGTAAGTAATTCCACATGACATTGTTCATCTCATTGTGAATGATGTAACTTCTTTTCACTGTTATGTAAATTGTGTGTGACAAGATGTAACTCATGTGCTCCACATCACATTGTTCATCTGATTGTGAATGATGTATCTTCTTTTCACTTTTATGTAAATTGTGTGTAACAAGATGTAACTCATGTGCTCCACATGACATTGTTCATCTGATTGTGAATGATGTAACTTCTTTTCACTGTTATGTAAATTGTGCGTGACAAGATGTAACTCATGTGCTCCACATCACATTGTTCATCTGACTGTGAATGATGTAACTTGTTTTCACTGTTATATAAATTGTGTGTGACAAGATGTAACTCATGTGCTCCACATGACATTGTTCATCTGATTGTGAATGATGTAACTTCTTTTCACTGTTATGTAAATTGTGTGTAACAAGATGTAACTCATGCGCTCCACATCACATTGTTCATCTGATTGTGAATGATGTAACTTCTTTTCACTGTTATGTAAATTGTGTGTGACAAGATGTAACTCATGTGTTCCACATCACATTGTTCATCTGATTGTGAATGATGTAACTTGTTTTCACCGTTATATAAATTGTGCGTGACAAGATGTAACTCATGTGCTCCACATGACATTGTTCATCTGATTGTGAATGATGTAACTTCTTTTCACTGTTATGTAAATTGTGTGTGACAAGATGTAACTCATGTGCTCCACATCACATTGTTCATCTGATTGTCAATTATGTAACTTCATTTCACTATTATGTCAATTGTGTGTGATAAAATGTAACTCATGTGGAATATAAGGAGAACAAGAAGTGTTGTAGCTCCTGAAAATGAAACTCAGCATATAGAACATCAGAATGAAGCTGCAAGGATACTGAACACAGAAGAACCGATTCTAAGGCTAGAATATCATCAGCCAACAACAAGCAAAAAAAGAAAAGCAGCCCCAAAAAAGAAGAAAGCAGAATTTGAAGAATCAGACGATGAATGTGAAGAAGTGGAGACAAGCAACAGGCCGCCTTCTGTAAACCTCAGAACAAGAGTAGGACCAGCCCCTTTCAGAAAGTTGATTAAACAATTAGATGAAAGAAAAAAAGCAGCAGTTGAAAGGATTGGATTTGGGGGATTACTGCATTTAAACTTTGACAGATTCTATGGAGATTTGGTTGCGTTTCTGTTGAAGAACTTTAGACCAATTTCAAGACAGCTACAACTTGCCAATGGTGAGCTGCTAGATATTGAAGATGAAGATGTCAAAGTTGTATTTGGTCTGCCAAAGGGAAAGATAGAAGTTCAAGAAGCGAATGCGAAGAATGAAACTGAAGAGTATACCCAACTGCTACAAGAATGGAGAGAAGAATGGGGGATTGATAAAGGAAGCCCTCAAACATAAAAAATGATTGAAAAAATAGTTGCAGATACTGACTCTGGAGACAGATTTATCGGAAACTTTGTGGTCTTTACAGTCTCTTGCCTGATCAAAGGAAACCAGAGTGTCAACAGCAATTTTAAAATATTGATGTCTTTGGTGAATGTAGCTGATATACCAAACATGAATTGGTGCAACTACACAATAAGATCGTTGATGGATGCAGGCGAGGAATGGCAAACTAATCAATCAAAGATGTTCAGTGGACCATTACTGTTTCTAATGATATGTTACTTTGACCGAGTACAATTCAAAGGCCAAATTATGCAGAGTGCTTATCCAACCATTAGAATCTGGGACAAGGAGAGAATTGACAAGAGAGTCAAAGATGAGAGAAAGGTGGGCTTTGGTCCGGGAAAGGTGACAAAGCGAATAATAACAGTCGAAGAGGAAGACAAAGATGAAGAGGAAGCAGGAAAAGAAGATGAAGAAAATGAAGATGCTGAAATGTTGTCAAAGAAGGTAAATTTTAATACAACACTTTGTGATCTTAAAGACTATTTTATGTAACTTAAATCAATTGTTACATAACTATAGGATTTTTCCAAGGAGCCTGTAATCTTAATTCAATAACTATGTATCTTATGTATTATTAAACAACTATTATTATAATTTTTATAGGATTGTGTGAAGGAGATTATAGCTGTGCCACAAAAGTTTAGTTATGCTTTTGTGGAATTCTCAAAGTTGCCGTCAACCATTGCAAAAAAGTTCCCCAATTCTGATATCTTGAAAAAGATATACTTGACCACAGCTGATTACTTCATCAATCAAGCAAATGAAAATCAAGCAAAAGGAACTCAACGATTATCAGAGAAGTGTGTCCTTGAGGAAGATGATGACTTCTTTAATGAGCCTGGAGTTATGGAAGCCCTTAAGAGACTAGAGAAAGCAGCATTCCTGAAATTTTTAATGCCTTCATTTGACATAGGAATTGAGTTTAACATGTCACAGGGTGAAGGCACATCAAAAGTGGATGTAGAAGCTGCGAAGACTGAAATTGCTACTGATGTACAAGATGTGATGACTGAAACTGTTGATGGAGTGGAAGATGTGATGATTGACACCGTTGCTGGAATGACTGAAACTGTTTCTGTTGATGGAGAAGTGAATGGTAAGGTTGAAGTGGCTGGAGTGGCTCAAATGGCTGCTGAGGAAGAAGTGACTGGTGATGATGGAGAAGTAAACAAGGAAATTGATAATAAGCAAGAGTAAGTTTTATTTTTTTCTTATGTAATTCATTAATACTTTTAACTAATAAAATAAACTTAACATTATATTATTTTTTACAAAGGAGTTTTGGTCTAAAGCCATATACCAGAAAGAGAAAGCTTCGAAAGTTAGGTGATTCAATTGTCAATTACAGATCACCTTTTCTGAAGAACAATAGAAGGCTATGCAAGGAATTTAGCGGAGATGAAAAGATTGTTCTTGATTGGGGATTCTCAAAAGAAGTTGAAAAGTAAGAAAAACTAATATTATATAATGTATTATTTCAGTATAAACACCATTTGATAATTAACTGTTTCAATTTGTTTGAAAAATATTATTCTGTTAGAGACTGTGTCTATCTAGATGAGGAAGGTGTGTTTATAAATCATGAGGAAATTCAGACACTTTAAGAAGGAAATGTAGACAACTCAATAATTGATGCATTCACTAAGATTCTGAATGACAGAGAAGAATCAAATAAGTCTACAAAGCGTGCCTTCATTGCGTCAACCCAAGTATATGTATGTATATTGTTTTCTTGTAAAATTGTAAAATAAAGTAGAGAACTTCAGTTTCTATATTTTCCTAAGAGTGACTCAATTTGAATGTGCAGGCAATGTTTGATTTTGCATCCGGTGACCCAATAGAAAATATGGTTGACAGATTGCAAAAAGAAATAAATGAAGCTGCAACAGATGTCACAAAATTAGATATAGTAAAATGTCATTAATATTTAATTTTACATAATTCAAGTGTAAAAATACAAGTCAAATTTGGTAATCCTTATATATATACTGCAGATTCAATCCAAAAATAAATGAATTGCTTATAATACTGCAGATATTGTTTCCCATTCACAATCATGAGCACTATTATATCTACTGCTTTTACACAATAAACAACATTGTTGATGTAATTGACAACCGGATGCTTCCAGATGGGGTGAGCGTTGAGGACAAATATGGCAAAACTTTGAAGAAAATGGTAAAAATTCAATACAATGTTTTTGGAAATAAGAAATCATATTATTCCATATTATTTTAATTCATTAATGTTACTTCTTGTATAGCATGAAGGATTCAAAGCCTTCTGTGAGAAAGTGCAGATTTCAAGCACAACAAGTTGGGTCCCCAGAATCTTATACATGCCATGGAGACATAATAGCAATCATGTTGACTGTGGAGTGAGTATATACTTTGCGTCACTTGGAGACGTTTCGTGGGCAAGGACGTGTATGGGATTCTGGATTTGCAACTGCTGCCACAAATGATGGAATAAAAGCTCAAAATGAAACCATCCAAAAGATGAGATTGATGTATGCAGCTCAAGTTTTACTGTCAAAATTTAACCTCCAAACCATCATATCATACTTGTTAGTCCTGTAAGTTGTATCATGCACAACAAGATCTCCAAACCTCTCATAATCAGATCTCATTTGACTATCTCTCCAG